CCCCCATAGCTAGCAATCCAAAACAGTCCAGTGGAGCCTGAGTGGTGGGTGTTGCCTTCTGACACACTTCCGGTGATGTCAGGGGGGGTGGCATATGTAAATAAGCTATGCTAATAAGTTATGCCAATGAGCTCCTGCTCTACGAAATGACCCCTGGGTGTGACTGCGCATATCTGTGTGCTGTTTACCCTGCAGTGGGGAGAACACACCCCAATCCTGTCTTTTGCAGTTTAAGGCCCCAGTGATTGTGGCTTGGCTCCAGGTTTTACCCTTTAAGGCCCTAAATGGTTGGGGACCAACGTGCTTGTGGGACCGCCTCTCCTGGTATGTCCCCTGAAGAGCTTTGTGCTCACAAGAGCAGAACGCAGGCCCAAGAGACGTCTGACTGTCCTCAGCCGGAGCCAGGGCCGGTTTCCCCATCGTGTCTGACCCATGACCCCTGCGGCCCCACGGAGGGAGAGAACCATATTTCTGAATGCCATTGTACGTCCACTAACTCTTTGTTAACTTCACCCAATTTATTCATTATAGGAGTGGTGCTGTTTCTTATCTCTTCTTTTAATTCTTGTTTTAAGTCGGTAAGCATCTCCTGTAAATGCTTTTTAGTTAAGGAGTCTTCGCTTTTCCTTTTACTTGCCCGGACTTTCTTCTTCCTCCATTTCCAATGAGGGGGGGGAAGGTCTCTGTCGGAAGAGTCTTGGTTTTCTTGCGGTGCTCTAGGCACCGGTTTGAAGGGGTTCTTGCCTCCTTTTGATCCCTTGGTTTCCCCCATAGTTTTGGTAAGGCTATAATATTTGAATTGTAGTCCTTTTTAAAATTTTAATTCTCTCGACACTGAGGCAGTGTCGGAGTGCCGCGGAGCTCGACGCGGAGGCAGTGTCGGGTGCGACTGCGTAGCTTCATTGTCGCCCCGCCCCCCTGAGTGCCATTGTAGATAGGCTTTTAATGGTTTTATTTAGCTGATTTTTTTTTTACTGTTGATGTTTTAACTAACTTATTGTATGTTCTATATATGTTGTACAGAGCCAGTTTGGTGTGGTGGTTAAGTGGGCGGACTCTAATCTGGGAGAACCGGGTTTGATTCCCCACTCCTCCACTTGCACCTGGCTGGATGACCTTGGGCAAGCCGTAGCTCTGACTATTTATTTATTTATTTATTTATTTAATTTATTTAATTTTAT